TCATTAAGAAATACTTTATTGTTCTTTATTGTTTCGAAACATTCAATTTACATGCAGTAACTATCTAAAAATTGAGCCGCAGTCATGTTTTTGTTTCATTATAAATATAGCGCTATAAACACAGTTTTCTTTGTTCCGTAGCCAGAATTAGGGCGGATCATTTTTTAATTCCGCCATGATCACGTTAAGTAGTCTTTATCATGTGTTCTGTACCCGTGAGAAGCTCCGGACTAACAACGGTTTCCGTTTCCCTAGTGATATTTTACAAGTATATTCTTATTTTATTCAGTATTCTGGAACTCTCTATATATTTGGAATATATTATTGATCTACTTGGTGTGGTTGGACGATTTTTAGAAATACTAATATTTTTATTGGATATGCTGATATGAATAATCATCAATATTATTCTGTTGATAAGTTCTATTATGCTTCTAGTAGCAATTAGCTCCACGATATCTTTTCTTAGTTCGAATTCAGCCGAATAGAGTTCTTGTTTATCAGCAGTAGCCGATAAAGCACCTTTTTTACCAGCTAAGTCCACACCGAGAGTTATATCTTGGGTTCAGGATTTCGCCATTTCTTACAAAAAATGCAACATAATCCAAAATTCTGAGAGATTCTTATCAAAAGAACAAAGGAAAACATCAATTCAAAATATAATCATTATTTTGATCATTTTAAAAAAGAAGAAAATACTGAGATTATTCCATTATTAGTAGCATACGGTTTATTTGATATTAGTATCAGTCGAATAGAATCAATTGGAACATAAATTTGAGGTATAGATATATGGGTGGCGTGCTATTAAAATTGAGGTACAGATCATATGGTTTACTATGTCTCGTACCTCAATTTTAATAGCATATAATTTCAAATTTTTTATAAATGCATGCTACTGAATATATATATGCATTTTCAGGATCTTGAACAAGAAGACATCATTTTTATTGATAAGACTTTGGATGAAAACTTTCAATTAGGCTTCCTTTCTTGATCTTGCATGAAATATATTCACAACATCGAAACCCCAGTACAACTCCAGAAATCAAACTTCTCGAATCTTTGGACATTGCACTTTTCCCAGATGAAAATGAACGTTACATTATCAGTATTTGTATTTCGATTATGGATCATTTATCATACAACCAAAAATGAAAGAATCAATGGAATTTTTCAATACAACCTTTCAAGCCTTATACCTTTGCGAAATGGAAAAAAAATAGCCTTTTAAAATTTCGTCCTTAATCACAAAAAAAAATTGGAAATATTTTGTTCAACAAGTTCAAGATCAGCAACATCAAAATTATAAAGAATGCATTGCTTATCAAAACAAAGAAAAGGCATCATTTGCGGACTCATTTATACTCACTGAACCTCCTATTCTAATTCAAGATAAACAATCTATAACTAATCTAAAAAAGCAGATTATTAATGATAATCCAAATATATATAGCCAAAAATCTTGTGAAAAATGAACATACAAAATGTGATGTGGATGATCATATTTTTATCTTAATTACGGATGAAAATAGAGAGAAAATATTGATGAAAATTAAATGATAATGAGTTTTTGATTTCGTATAATAATGTAAAGGCTGTATTTGGAGAAATTATTGCACTTAGAAAATTATATTGTATTGAAAGAGCATAATTAAAGAATAAATATGATCTTGATGGTATTTCTATGTCGACTAAAGCATTAATGTCAATATAATGTTAAAGAATCAAGAATTTAAATAATTAAATCAAAATACTCATTTTATATAATCAGATACTACTACTGTATACTTGAAAGCAACTCTTTACTTATTCATTATTGAGAAATGCAATTTTATTGGCTAGATTTTGTAAATCCGAGCTAATATTTAAACATGACCAATCGTCTGATTTTCAAAACTATATACTTTATTTAAGGAAAAAATAAATCCGAATCAAAATTTTAAGATAATTTAATTTCTCTCATCTAACGTTCACTTCTTTCTACCTTTTCTAGTGACGTTTGTTTGCTGGCTGATAAACCTTTTTGAAGTCCGCAAGTTCTCCTTTTTCTTTTCAAGCCCATTGACTTTTCCGATTGTCTCCCAATCAACATTTTCAATGTTATTAGAGAGAAGTTTCTTTTCTTTTCTTCTTGCCTCTGACGACTTTTTTTCCCAATAATCACGGTATTTTGCGATTCGTGACATTCCTTCCAGAGATGACCTTCTTTATCACAAACCTCACAAAACTTGTACTGTTTGAAGGAGTTGTACGCTTTCGAAGTACTAAAATCATTATTTTTTAAGTCCAAAAAGGAGTTGACCTCCTTCAAAATACTAGAATCGTTCTTTTTAAAATCCAAAATAAAGTTGTTTACTTCAAGATCAAAACTAAAAGTGTTTCTTTCATTGAGTCCAGAACATTCCCATACGCCATGACCTCCTTTTCTACAATATTCGCATAAATTGCGGTTCTCTTGAAGAGAATCTTCCCAAAAGTATGAATCGGACCAACAATCATCATCTTCTTCATCTTCGTCCTTTTCGGGGTAAGAAAATTTTTCTATACATTGATCACTTTCCAAAATAATCACAAAACTCGACTTCCTCGTCTTTTTTAAGTAATTAAAACGTTCTTCTGTATAATGGTTTCCTTTCTCATCATAATTGTATAATTCTGACCGATAATTATCTTCTTCGTCAGAGAATTGTGTTTCACTAATGTGAAGACTATTGAATATTCTTTGAAATTCTTCGTCCTCCATTAAAAATTTGGTTTAAACAAGAATTTGCCTTTTTTGTTTTCGATATCTATAAAGTTTACTATGGATTCAAGATTATTTTATTTTTTTTTAATTTGCGAATGAGCGTGTAAACACCGCTTGGTCAGCGAATGAGAAGAGTGTGGGAACGACTTTTATTAAGCCGTGGGACAGACAAACTTGTATAATTCATTTTTTTGACTAATCGCGTGATAAAACAAATTTATCCACACTAGTTACTTTTTCATTTTTCCGTAATAAAAAGATATGTCAAATCATTAAATGTTTAGATAATGATAACTATGAAAATCTTGTTTAAGGTAGAAACAAATTCCTGTTAATCGATAAATGTCAAAGAGGTATATCTAATTCGTTTCCTTAAACTTTATTATCCCTTAGATTGTCTAGCAGGCAAATTTGCCTGCGAAATTAAAAAAAATTGTTAATTTCTTTATAAAATAT